TTTTGGTTTAACAGCTAAAAGGTTTAACATCATTGCATTCTCTGGGTACATGTGTAGAGAACATAAGGTCTAACAGAGAACAGGCTTGACCTTTTTAATTAATTTTCTTGTGTTTTATCACTTTATTTTATGACGTTTTGTCTGACTTTGTTTCAGATATTTCCTCTACTTTCCTCCTGCTTTTCATCTTATTAAAACTTTGCTTACTCAAAGACATTAATTCAAACTTTATTCTCCCATTTATCATTCCCTTGAGTATTCTTCCTTGTAGGGATTTGCTGAACTAGGGACAGAAATATCTAGCTAAAACACTGAATCTTATTCAATACTATTTTGAGATGAGAAAAACCGGCTGCCCAAATGGATGTCTGTTTCCATGGCAACATTTTTTTGAGAGAACTATCCAATGTCTGGTTTGTTATCTTTGTCTTAAGCCATATTCCTGATTGTTTTTCCTGTTCAGACAAATTAGGCTAGTTATGGATATAAAAAGGTAATTAGCAGGAGTATGTTACCTTTCACATCCGACTGTCATGCAAAAATTGTGATATGAAATATTTTTCACCTTTGGCCCTTCAAACTAAGAAAATAAAAATTATGTGGAAGATCGATATTGCTGCCGTGTTTGTTCCCTTTCAATAGAAAGTAGAGTGTGAGAGTATTGGAGAATATTCTACCCTTGAATATTAAAAATCTAATATTGATGGGTAATGTTTACATTAGACATAGACTGGAAGTAAACATTGCGACGTCTAATCATTTGGGTTTTTTCTCACATGATTCAACCTTGACCTAGGTCTAGAACAACTGATAAATCATAAACAAGTTATTGTTAGGAGAGGAATACTTTTGTGATTTTGAATATGTATCGATCGCAGGACATCTGTTGCACCCATCATATGTATGTTCAAAAGACTTCTTTCTTCTTCAAATTTTGACATTTAAAAAAAACCTGTATACTCAACTGGTCTCGTCATTTTTCTGATGCCATTCAGAATTGGATCTCAAAAGTGACTAATGTTTGATCTTATTTGTTTAAGAAAAGCTGACAAAATAGTCTTAATTGTGGATATTTAGTGTCTTGCGGCTCTTGTTTATCTTGGTCTGTGTGTACTTGGGTTATCAGACATTGTGCCCTTAGTTTTGTTTAGTTTTGGTTATCAGTGTTGTTACAGGTGTCGTTTATTTGTCAGTTATGTTGGATTTTCAGTCACTTGAAGTCTCTTTAGCAAAGACAAGTCTGTAGCATGATATACTACTAAGTTATACTGATAATGGTTTTGAGTGGAAAAATGGGGAATATTCTATATTAAGCACTTGTATTTTTTATCAGTCATGCAATATTAATTATCCATTCATTTGCTCACTCACTAATTTATTTCATTTATCCATCCATCCCTCTATCCCATCCCATCCCATCCCATCCTCACCCATCCATCAATCCCATCCATCCACCTTACCATCCATCCACCT